TTCTCACTCTAACGGACACATTCGCGAACTCCAGGGGTATAAAAAATTAAATGAAAAGGAAAATCAAACGGTCCACTTCACTCCTTTCGCTTTTCCCTCTCACTCTCACCTACCCTCGCACTCCCGCTTCTTCCTCTCTCGCAGCGAAGCTCACAGTGGTAGGCAACTTAGGCATTGATAACTGATATTTACATATACAGCGTCTTACGTCTCGTTCATGAGAAGTAGGCACTAGGGGTGTGAGTTTTTTTTTTTTTGTTAAAGCTCCTGGATTTTGTTTGATGGCTGAAACCCTAGACATCGGACACGGTTCTATCAATTCCTGTCCCTCCGAGCAGAATAACAGCGTCAGAGCGGAGATCGACACATCTGCGCCTTTTGAGTCTGTTAAGGAGGCCGTGAGTCGATTCGGCGGAGTCGGTTACTGGAAACCCTTTCAGCATAAGACCCCTGAACCTGAGGTCTCTCTCTCTCTCTCTCTCTCTCTCTCTCTCTCTCTCTCTCTCTAGTTTATTCTGGTTTCCAACTATAAACTCACCAGTTGTTTGTAAAAATTTATGCAGTATTTTAGCACTGTGCATTTACTACCACTACCAAATTTGGGTGTTCTGAGTAGTCGGAGTATAACTATTGATGTCACCTAGAATTTTGATCTTTCTCAAATATTAGATGCAATTCGTTCTTATATGCTTCCTTAGATGCCCTAATATTTGTTTTCGTGGAGCATATTCTTTTTTACAACTGGATTGAGCTCTGAATTTGTTGCTAAGTTTTGTTTTCTTCTTGTTTTTTTCTGGCTCTCGTTGTGCCTCAAGCAATTATAATGTGTGTGAACCGGCTAGACTTAGTGTAGATTTCAATTTTCAATGCCTGAAATTGATCAAAATGTTCCTCGTTACAACTTGCAAGTTGTAGCTTTCAGGAGGCCCACCAACAACAGATGCTCAATAATCTGGCTTTTTGACCTATATGTCCTCTCACAAAATTATAGCTATTTGATTAAATGGTTATATCGTTCGTTAATCCTTGAGCATTGACCTAATGATCACATCTCGAGTACTTATTTTAACTTCAAATATTAAGATATTGTTTAAGATATTATAACTTAAATGATTAAAATATTATAACTTTCAATCCTTTAGGGGTGCTTGCTGATTTTTCATTTGTTTAGCTTTCCTTATTTTTCCTTTTTGTAATTTTTAGAAGCAAATTCTCCTCCTGGACTTTTTTGTTCATTCACAGATATACAAAAGATGATGTACATGATACTTCCATTGTATTTTAGTGTGCATTTTACCATTATTGCTGAGAAGCTTTTGTTTGTAGCCGCGTGATGTGGAAGAGGTTGAAATTGCAAAATTGGAGGAGCAAGCAGCCCAACTGGAGAAGGATCTGATTGCGAAAGAAAGGGAAACACTAGAGGTGTTAAAGGAGCTAGAGACAACCAAAACAACTGTGGAAGAACTAAAGCAAAAGCTCCAGAAAGAAACTTCTGAACTCAATCTGATCCTTGACACGAGTACTCATCCTCTAGACAAGGAAGCCGAAAAAGAAAACAACTGGGATGGCGGTGACCCTAACTTGCTGGAAGGCTGCTGCCCCTCGTCAGCTCCAGGTTTAATTCTAATGGAGCTGAAGCAGGCTAAGGTGAACCTTTCCAGGACTACTGATAATCTTTCTGGCATACGTGCATCTGTTGAAGTGCTTAATAAGAAATTAGAAAAGGAAAAAATTTCACTTGAAAAGACCCGTGAGAGGGTAACATTAAATTCTTTTAAGATATCTTCTCTTGAGGAAGAGCTGAACCAAACAACACTGAAGTTGCAACTTGCAAAGGAGACCGAGGGTAGAGCTGGTTCTGATAATCCTTCAGATATCGCCAAAGAGCTCCAAAGATTGAGATCTGAAGCTGAGCAATTCAAGAAAATGGAAGAAATGGCTAGATCAGAAGTTTTCAGGGCAATATCTGAAATTGAAGAGACAAAAAGTAAGATAAAAACAGCTGAGATCAAGGTGGTTGCGGCCTGTAAAATGAAGGAAGCGGCAAGAGCAGCAGAAGCTATTGCTCTTGCAGAAATCAAGGCTCTATCAAACAGCAGGAACTCATCAGGAGTTGTCTCGCAAAAGCCCGAAATAGTAACCCTTTCTGTCGAAGAGTATTCTTCCCTGACCTCCAAGGCTCTAGATGCTGAGGAACATTGTAAGAAAAGAGTAGTGAATGCTATGCTAGAAGTTGATGAAGCAAATGTTTCAAAGATGGAAATCTTAAGGAAGGTAGAAGAAGCTATGGAAGAAGTTAAAACCAGTAAGAAGGCCCTGGAAGAAGCTCTGAACAGAGTAGAAGCTGCAAATAACTCAAAACTGGAAGTAGAAGAGGCTCTTCGCAAATGGAGATCTGAGCATGGGCAGAAAAGACGATCTGTGCATAACACTACCAAGTTCAAGAATTCTTATCCATCTCAACGCCGGGGAGATTCTCGTTTACGTGATGTCAATGGACTGGACATGGTCAGAGATGGGTCAACACCGAGTTTGAAGGCAACGTTATCAATCGGACAGATACTCAGCCGGAAGTTGCTTCACCCGGATGAAGCTGAGATGGAGATTATGGCAGCAAAAGGAACTGTGAGGCGGAAGGTCTCATTAGGACAAATGCTTGGTAAGCAAAATGGCGATGCGATGTACTGTAGGAAGGCTGATAAGGAAAATGGTGAGCAATTTAGTGGAAAAAGAAAGAAGTTTGGATTTGCTCGTTTCTCACTGCTTTTGACCAAGCAAAATAAGAAAAAGAAGAAAACAACTCTAAACCTGAGGTAACAACTTTTGAGTCATCTTGGTAAGGCACTAACTTCTGTAACTTATGATCTCTATTTGTTTACCTTGTTGTCTGTCTATTTGGCTTTGTGCTTATTTAGTGAATTTCTGTTGTGTAAAGATGCGATATAAGTATTTATATTCCTTGTGTAGTGGGGAAATTTCCTTACATACTTAAAAGAGTCTATCTACAGTTGTTGTTATTGTTATTATTTACAATTAAGTCCTCCTGTGGTGCATGCATAAAAATCATATCAGAAAAATACTGATTTTTCCTACAATTGCAGCGATGATTCCTTGAAAATATAACAATAATACCAAATCAATGAAGCAATAAACCTGAAAGAATTGACGCCCAGGATGCTTTTCCATCCTCGGGTTGGTCCAGTTTTTAATTTTGACTTTTTGGGTTTAAAATATATGTTTTTTTATAATTAAACGAGTAAAACTAAAAATTAAAAAGTTTTTTTAATAAATTTAAAAACAAAAGTTACATTTAGAAATCTCAAAACTTATAATAATATTTTTATCCATAAGAATTCACCAACTAAACGTGCAAAATAATTAATAAAAATTAAAATCCAAAATTTATAATTTGTAATAAAATTTAAAAATTAATTTTTAGGAAACACAAAATTATTAATTTTCCAAAATAAAAATCAAATCTGTTTGGTGGCATGTCCCCACTTTCGTCCGCTAATGCAGTTTCTTAATCAAATCCAATAATGATTTGGATGATTATTATTTTCAATTTGATAAAAATAGCAGTCCGATTAAAAAATAACAAGATAAGCCGGAGGATATCATGATTCTGACACGTGGCCATTACGAGAATATAGACCGTCGGATATTGCTTAGCCCATACACTATTAGAATTCATTCCCTGTGACCCTTCAAAACAGGATTAGACCGCAAAAATCAACTTCCCACGCCAGGAAAGAAAAGATCAACTTCTCCCCGTCTCTCCCTCCCTAAATCCCCTTCCACGTCTCAGCAAAGGTAAAGTTTCTTCTTCTCACACTCCTCGAATCTTTTCTGCTAACCAACTCATGTTCCCTCAGCAGCCAAACAAGCTTTATTTTATTTTTGAATCCTCCACTCTTTCTAAAAAAGAAAGGTATTTAGTATCCCCGATTTTTAATTTTGAATTCGGACGCCTATTTTCTGATGATTTGCTTGCCATCTTACCAGATTTTATTTATTGGTCTTGTGTTTGTGGTTGTTGATTCTTTTATCTTTCTTCTTTATTAAAGGGTATTGATCAAGTTAAAGTTAGTAGTTGTGTTATTTCAACTCTGTTTATTTGAGAGGCCTTGATAGTTTGGTCGGTTCTTCTGAGAAAATCCATGGCATGTCTCCAACTCCTAATTATAAGTAAGAGTTTGATTGTTCACAATTTAGAATCCTCTCATGAATGGTCCGAGCCATTTTCGCTGCGTAAAGGCCATTGATATGACCAAGGGATCTAATTTTAATATTGACTTTGTTTGAGGAAAGCTAAGCTTTAGTTTCGAGCCTTGTTGAGTAGTTACGCTATAACTTGCTCTTTTAATGGTCGGGCAGGTGTCCTGCAATTCAGTCTCACTTATTTAATATACTTAATTAAGAGAAACTATTAAAGCTGAGTGCAGCTAGTAACATATTGACTCCCAAAAAATATAATGATAATATTTAATTGAACAGGGCAAAATTGTAGAACTTTTTTTGAGTCTAAAATGTTGAAAGACTTTCTTCACAGGTAAATAAACAAATTGCTATATATAACCTTAATTTTCCAGTTACTATTATGAGATTTTGATGCTGATGTTTCGTGACTTTAATTTCAGGCGACATGGGTCTGAGAGTTGGGCTGTTGTTTATCTTCTTGTTGTGCTCAACCTGGGTTTGCAATGCGAGACAACTGGGAGCTCCTGAGCTCTCTGGTAGGGATCATGAAGATCTCTTATCTATTAACTTTTTTATCCAGCTATTTCTGCTAAGTCTATTTTTCTGTTGCATTCTGCAATGTCAATCTCCTTCTCTAGTAACTCTCAACTTTGTCCTCGCCAACACATCCCCACTGCAAATTGACACTGGGCTTCTAAACAAAACAATTTTACTTTGATGATGCAATTTGAATTTGCTATGGTGGTGGTAAATTTTTTGTACTTGTGTTTTCATTTTGTTCCTACTCCACTAGACCTTATTAATCATGGCCCCTTATTTGTGGTCTGATAACATTCTAAGATTTAGGTGCTTAAGTTGGGATAGAAATTATTTTTTGCATTGGGGCATGGCCATCACAATGAGATTCACGTGTCTTTCTGATTATTTAAATGGTGTGGGTTTGACTAGATTTTATTCCTCATACCACAATATGAGGGTTGTACGGAGGAGAGTTGGTTTATGTCTATGGTGTTTGGTATGAGAGATTTTTTGCTAGAGTAATGCCTGTTAAATATGATATAGCTATA